AATTCTTGGACCCCTCCTGGACCTACTACTGATCTAGTAGGGGCCCAGAATGTGTTTTAATAAGCTCTTCAAGTGAATCTTACACAGATTTAAACTAGAGAACCACTGGCCTAAATCAATGATTCAAATACTTGATCACAGTCAAGTGCAAGATTGGCTGCTTCAAAATCACTTGGGAAACATTATAAATCCTAATTTCAGCTCTCCATCCCCTTACTCAATTAAGTGTGGGGAGGGAGTGTATGTATGTAGCTTCCCAGGTGAACCTGATGCATAATGAAATTTAAGAACTAACATGCTCTGTCAGGCTCTCAAAGTGTGGTCCCCAGACCAGCAGCATCAGCATCAGCTGGGAACTTGTTAGAAAGTCTCAGGCACCAACCCAAACCTACTGAATCGCCAAGTCTGGAGTGGGGCACACCCAGCAATCTATTGTACTAAGTTCGCCACATGATTCTGATACACGAGAAAGTCTGAGAACCTCTATCCCTAGTGATCTGTCCTGAATTGAGAACACATGAAATGAATCTGAATTCTGTGGAGAATAAAAATGATAGAAACAGACAATTGACTTAGGTCCTTAGGAATACATCTCCTGGAGCTAGAGTCTCTCACTGTCCTCACAGATCTGCAGGTCCAGGTGCCTCACTCCCCAGATATGCCAGTGGGCGTTCTCAAGCTGTCCACTTAAGCATAGCACAACTAGTGAATGAAAACGCCTCCTGAAAAGCACTGGTTTTAAGCAAAATGTAGTTAAAGTCCACAGTAAGAGCCATAACTGAGTACTCTTGTCAGTGGGGAGCCAAAAATAGGCTGGAAATGTTCAAGAAAATAGCTACAGTTATTTAAGACATCACAGAGCACTTACATCTTGCTACCTACTGCCTATAAAGGTTGCAATAATCCCCTGGAGCTGTTTTCTTAGCACAGAGCAGGGATTTCTGAGGGCAACAGAGGAGAGAAGGAGATGAAGCCCACCAGGGGTTTAGAAGCAAAACTTAAGTCAGCTCTGAGGTTAATAAATATTTTTATTACTCTACCAAAGGGAGTAGGGTGGTAATTATGTCTCCCAGTTTCCACATATTATTTCTCAGATCAAATACTTATTGAACACCTATTATGTACCAGAAATCATTAATATTGCCTCCAAATATTGATATTACCATGACTTTTTTGAAAAACAATGATTCTAACATTATATGTAATTCTAAGGTCAATGGAATGACTATGACTGCTTCTACTTACCCAAGGAAGCTAACCATGCTAAAATAAAAAAGACCCAGTTCAAAATGACCCTAGGCAGTCATTTAAAAAAAATAAGACCCATTCAAATAATCCTTTAATAGCCTCTCTAAATTGAGGTACAGTTCAACATTAAATGTTCAATCTATAATAACGAGGAGAGTGGTTCAAATTTACCACATGGCTGAGTTTTTTCTTCCTATGCTCAACATACACATCATGACATATGGGGATGTCCTTGTATGTTCAGTAAGTGGGATACACTTATGTCTATTCCACCACACGTGGAACAAAATTCCACTATTTTTAATGCTTACAGAGCTGTAGAGTTGTTTTGTATTTCCTTCTGAGTGGCACTATTAACCAAATTTAGTTTACTCAAGTCAAATCCTTGGTCAAAAATTATAATTATTTCCATGAAAAAATTAACTTCACAATCAACATTAGCCTGCTTTGTAGCATTATTTCAAAGAATAATGTGGGGAAAAGCTCTAACCTCCTCAGTTTAGGTCATTCAGACAAACAGGTACCAAAGAGAAGACAAAGAAAAGTGGAAAGGCCAAGCATATGGAAGTATATCCAAGGAAGCCAGACCAGGCTTATTGAGTAATTTGAGTAATGCTTACTGTCCCCTTTCCATTTTCCAAATCTTCCCATCCTTTCTCCCCACCAGCCTTTTCTTTCTCATCCTCCCTTATATTCAGAGAACATCATATTCTCAAGGGCACATAGACATCATCTACCACAACCCCCTCAACTTACAAATGGAGAAAACTAAGGTTCAGATAATGCTTGCCCAAGATCACAAGCCTGATTTTAAAGGCAGGTCTGTCCAACACTCAAGATTCATTTTTTCTACTATTTCCCTCTGTCTCTTTAGAAAAATCCCTTGCAAAAAACTAACACACTACTCTTAAACTTTATTCTGCTACACAGAGTTAGAAAACAATATGATATAACACGCATACACGAATATTTAAGACAGTATACACAAAACCATGTATCTATCCTACTGGACACTTTAACACTGATCTTTTTAAAAATTACTTTCTCATAATCTGATTCACTGCTTGATCAGTGGAAAAACAGAAGATCAGTTCAGTATCTGATCATCTGAAATTATTAAGTCACACCAACAGCAGTTAGTATTTATTTACTGCTTGTATGTGCCAAGTACACCCTTTATATGTATCTTCATATCGGAGTCCTCTCTCCAACCCACCTTGTGATCCTTTCACAACTTTTTGCTACATATACCATAATAAGGGGCAGAATTTCTCAAATTTTCTTACCATTTTCCTGAAGTTCTTGGGGTACCACAGTGCCCATGAAAGACGGCCCTATGTATATCTAGTATGTGAGTTACATTATAGTTTTCCCCTGAAAGTCTCAGGACACACCTTAATTTCTACAAAAAGGTAAGGGTACTTCTTATTTTACAAATTGATCCTATCCATAGCTTCAGTGACTAAAAATAAATAAAAAAGCCTCATACTGCTCTGACAAAAATCTGAGCCATATGATTTAATTTTGATTCAGAGCATGGATTTAGAATAAGATGACCTGGAGTTTAAGTCTAGCCCTGCCACATACTAGCTGTGAGACCTCTCTTGATTCCAATACTTGTATCACAGGGTTAGTATGAGGATTAAATGAAAGGATGTTTTCCCTTTCCTACCTTTTCACGCCCTTCATTCTATCTGTAGAACTCCTACTTTTTCTTTAAGCTCCTTCTTAGATGTCATTTTCTCTATATAACCACAGCATTTCTTTTGTAACTCATGGTTACATACATGTGTGTGAACTCAGAAAAAGTCTCAAAGGAGACATGCTATAATAGTGGTTATCTTTAGGAGATAAGATTAACAGTGATTTTTATTTCTCTTTTGATAGTGCTCTGAATTATCTAGATTTTTTCAACAAATACATATTTATGATTAGAAATAAATTAGCTATTTCCGTTAACAAATAAGTAAAATATAAATGATCTCACTTTTAAAGAGGAAAGTCACTACATTTTTCCATAGTTTTATGAGTACATACCTCACAGTATAAGTAGTTGCTTACAAATCTCTTTCCTTCATCAGGCTGTGTGTTTCTGGACAGCAAGAATCCCAGAGCCTTCCAGAGTGCATGAAAATGTATTGGAAAGTCAAAAAATATCTGATAAAGGAAGCTGAAGAATGATTGCTTGCCTAGATGGGCAAGTCCAAAGCAGTGCCTACATACTAATCTAGACTCCTCACTATCACCTAATGGAATGAAAGACTATAAAATTTATCCACTGAACTTCTGCTTCTTGATCACTAGGAAATTCATTTTCTTGATCAAACCCACCATTTCTTATGAAGCACAAAAAACTGGATAGAAAGGGGGCTTGTCCTAGACCATAATACACCAGAAGAATCTTCATATTTGCCTTGTCGTATATATAACCTGTTCTCTCCCCCAACTGTTGAGTCCTCTATTATGGAAATTGTGATAATGATCAAACAGAATGCAATAAAATTGATTTTCCCCACCAAGAGTAAGATATTTATAGACTCCAAAATACCTCTTCAAGTTTTTGTTTCTGACCTTTCTTTCTCTAACCTCTTTCCCTGCAAACATCAGGCCAGATTAGGATGAAAGGACTAACTGAAGGGTCTTCAATCCTACTAAATTAAAACTATGAATCATGAACTATGAATTATGATTTTGAGGTAAAGTTATCATACTTCTGCACTAAAGCACTAAAGTAAACTTCAAACTCAAGAATTCAACTTCTTCCATTACCTACAAAGGTTAAAACTTTCTTTAAAGCACCTTATGAAAAAACCGAAGAGGTCACAAACCAAACAGAATGCCACAACTGAAAAAAAATTCCTTCCAAAGTGTAAGAGGACTTAGAAACATATGCCCATACAAGAGAAGAGAATAAATTTAAGGAACCCAAAGTTACTGGCAAGCCAGAGATGCTTTGAGGTATGTGCCCAGCCTTTTGAGGATACCAGAAAATAAACATATCCTCCCAGAAAAAAACAAAACAAAACAAAAAAGACTAGGAGATATTTTTTATAAAGATAAATTTTTACTAGCCTGATCAAACATTTCTATAGCTTACAAAAGCTGTCCAGATATGAATAGATTTGCCATGGTTGAAATGGAAATTTCACAAATGTTAAAAGGTCTTAAGGGCTTCCAAAGTAACTACAGCTATGCCACAGTGAAGTTCTTAAAAAGTCACATGATTAATTATAGCCCTTAAACATGTTCAGACTCAAAACATCACCATCACATCACATGCATAGAATTCTTTGGTTTCACAAAGTACTTTTTCAGCACTTCAACAAATACAAAGCCGCTCTTTATGGAAAATTCTGATCCTCCTGCAAGCACTTCTCCCTAATTTTCACAGCACAATATCAATAAATATTGTCATCATCAATACTGCCATTTATGCATCTGGTTACGTGTGTGTGTGTGTGTGTGTGTGTGTGTCTCTGTGTGTGTGTGTTGCATGTGTGTGTTTAACTTAGGAAAAGTCTGAAAGGATACACACCATAATAGTGGTTATCGTTGGGAGGCAGGATTAAGAGTGATTTTTATTTCTTTTTGATAATTCTGAATTATCTAGATTAGACCGTTTTCAACAAACACATATTCATTTGAAAAAAATGAGCTATTCCCATCAAGAAGTGAGATAGAAATTATCAGTATGTAAATGACCTAGTTATTAAGCCCATCAATACAGACTCACAGTAGCAAATCCCTCTTACCTGCTTCATTACACAAGGCTTTCAAGTCTGCTCCAACATATCCATGAGCACTCTCTGCCAGCTGTAGCAGTTCAGCTTCAGCAAGCAAATGCGGCACCCTCTGAAGCAGTTTCTGGAGGATATCTAGTCTGTCCTGAGCATTAGGAACTCCAATCTCAATCTCCTTATCAAATCGTCCAGGTCTTCGTAGTGCAGCATCCAAAGCATGGGGGCGATTTGTGGCCCCAAGGACCAATAACTGTCCTTCACTTCCTTCCTTAAAAAATGAAAATAAATGACATGTTCTTTTAACAGTAAAAGATATATATGATGTTCTACAATATATATTTTTATATTATATAAAACATTACATCATTTTACTATATATAAAATATTACAAACATACATTGGGATTGGCTATATAAACAAGGATCGATCTACTGTCCCAGCTGCTAAGTCCTACCCATCACACTTTATTACTCATTCCACATTTTCCAAAGCTCAGCCTAAATGCTCCCTCACCTCAGAAGTTTTCCAATACTTTCCTCTCCACCTCCTGTAAGTGATGCCTCTCCCACTTCTAGCATCTTAACTACACCATTCTCATGAGTAATATGTAATACCCTACCATATAGCTGTTTTGTTTTATCTTTTTCCCCTACTTGAAAGCAAAGATTATGACCTACATGTTATTCAAATGAACAAAACTCTATCACAGTTATCTAAGAAATCTTCACATATGAACATTTTTTACTTTGATAAACTTTCAAATTCCCCAAAATATAGACTACAATATATCTAACACCCAAGTATCAGCCACCCTTGAGTACATATGAATTTTTACTTTCTGAAAATGAAATTTGGAGTAACAGTTTAAAAAACTATGATCACAATCAGCCACCTATAGGTATTATCTAACATTCTAGTCACATGACCTAAGTGTAATTTCACAGAGACAAGTTTAACTGAAATGTGATTCAAAATAAGAAAACTCAAACCAAATCAATTATACTGGAAGAGCCCAACAGAAAATACATGAATTACAACGAATCTAAGAACTTTGAGTTTGGAAGACAAAGAGAGGTCCTTAAACATTTCAGACTAAAACACCACTGCCACATGCTTCCAGTCATGCCCAAAAGCAAGAACACCAGTCCACAGAAAGCTTATCCCAGTGGCAGAAAGGCAGCAATGACATAGTGATTTAAGATCCTACAATATAGAGCCTTCCGTCTGATTTCCTACTAACCAAAAACCCTTCTAATTGTAATACAGCGCTCTGTACATATTTGCCTTTGGGGTGAAAATATAGAAATCCAGAACAAAGAAACTGGTTGTCTTGATAATTAAATTTACTATAAATAGACAAACTGGAATCACAGCTTATATATCAGTCTCTTGTGAATGTTGTTATTGTGGGTCAGTCCTCAGAACCTCACCATCTCCAACATACTACAAATAATTCTCCAAGCTTCGTATGCTTAGAACCAAACCTGGTACATAACGATCACACTGAGGCACTGCTGCAAGACTGAAGACCAGGCAGTCAGCCAGCCTTCCCCAGGTAACAACCCTTCTGTGTTGCTACTCTTAAAATTATAACACGTTAGCAAATAACAGAGACTTAAAATCAAACCTTCGCATTATTTTCCCATGTTCAGTTTCTACCAATATGCAGTAAAAACCAAAATGTTCTAACTTTCCAGTTTTTTAATATGCAAAAAGAGGGCTTGGGACTGCATGATTTCTAAAATTTCTTATGGTTCAAACATGTTATGATTCTAAAAGATGATTTATTTATAATCCTGCATAAGAAGTGTATTCATCTGATGAATGGCTGTCAGGAGTCTGAAAGAATTTTTCTCCATTCCTATTCTCTATTACTACTGTGGCTCTGCCTTTCATAATTAATACACAGTTTCTAATTAATGTAAGAGTATATGTCCCATCAGAGAATCTGTAGCACAGGTAAATTCTTTTTAAATATCGTACAAATACATTTTCCATCATTCTCACTTCCTTTCCTTTCAGTTGCCAAACTTAAAGCCTCAAAAGAATTTATACATGCATATCAAGACTTCCTCATGATATTTTTAGTAAAATCCTTTAAAATTTAACTGCTAAACCTTCCCGATTTTTGCTTCAGATTTTAAAGTTACTATCATTTTCTCAAAAGAAATCTACCATTGTATATTACTTTACATCCCAGAAAAACATGCCAGGTTATACTGTACTAGCAGTTACTAAGAAATCTGGTGAGAAACATTATTGATGCATCTTCTCTTTAGTTTCTATAGCTAGTATTTTCCCTTTATCCTAGAATACCTAAAAACTCAGACATATTTGACATGTTTTGCATATTTGTAGTATTTAGCATACTACATATATATTATGAAGAATCAACCCTTTTCTATGGGTACTATAATACTGGTACTATACTTACTGAACCAATACCATCCATCAGTGTTAACAGTGAAGCTACAACTCTTTTTTCTACTTCATTCTGAGCCCCTTCTCTTTTAGGGCAAAGTGCATCCAGCTCATCAATAAAAATAACTGATGGGTGCCTAAAGACAAAAAAAGTTAAATTAATTCTCTAATATACATGTAACTTAAATTTGATAAATTCCTTTAGTTTTAATTTTTTAATTGAAATGCAAGGTATGAATTTAGCATTTAGTATTTTAATATTAAAGACAAAAATAATAGGATATTAAGCTGAAAAACCTTAGATTAATTTCTAACCCAAATTATTAGCTCACCAGTATCATACTCTAGTACCTCTGCCCTCAGTAAAAAAGCGGAGTATTGAGAACAGTCTGTTACACCCAAGATAATCTGTGCCCAGACAGAACTTGCCCATTTATGCTCATTAAATTGTTATGACTGCATTAGTTAAGAAGCTGAACTGTGGTCCCTTCGTTTTAAAGTTTGAGGAAGGGACAGAAACTAGAAATGCTCTCCTTTTTTTACCTATTAAAAAAAGAACTTTCAAGATGATTCTCCCATAAAAAGATGTGAATTCCCTCACCAGAGGAAGCCTCAACTGCCAGGAACATAACAACAAAACATTTGCACAGTAAGGCATTCTACAGCTGCTCAAATTTTCAGTATTGGCACTATATACCACTCACTTCATCTACTATCACTGGTGAAAAAAAAAACTTTAAATATATAAGTTGTTTTGATGAGATGGTAATTATGGTAATTTAAATATCAAACAGTGATAAAGACACAGTCATATTATCCATAATTTATATTAGACCAAGTTGTAGACCACACTTACATTCACTGCAGTGTAACATGGTAGCCTAAACTGAGGAATAATCAGTAAGAATAATTTTTAAATAGCAAAAGATTTGTCCTTTTGGAGCCAAGGATAATAAAACAAAGTTGTATGCATAAAGGGCCACTGGAATACAGATTACTAAGGGAACTAGATATACTGGACATGTTAAGTAGCCTAGTAACCCTAAGGAAAGAAAATTGTAATTTTATATGCTCAAGCAAAGTCACATGGACTTATCATACAACACTGTCTAAATTCTTCCACTTTACGTAATTTAATTCCTGATTTATAAAACTTCCAAACTATAACATAGAGATAAAGAAGATGGAAATCATTAGATTTACTATCTGTAATGGTATTTACTATTATTTTTGTATTATTATTTCATGCTTCATGTAAACTGCTAGTATCTCTACTTTGATTAGTTCAGCCTTGACACCTAATTCCAAACATCTGAAAATAAAGAATACCGCAGAGTGGCTTCAGCAAATATCTGACGTAACCTTGCTTCTGTTTCCCCATAGAATCTGTAACAGATAAAAAAATACATTTAAGAACCACCTCTTATTGTTTTTAAAGCTTTGTCTTTGTCTTTAAAAAACCATGTGATTTTTTCAAATATTTCCAGAATACTTAAAATTGCTTTCAAAATTATTTACCAAACTTAATTTTTATAGATTAGAAAGCAAATGTAAAATATTCCAACATACGAAATATTCAGACAGAATACTATGCAGCCATGTTTGAAAAACACATTTAATAATACTGTTTATTCTATTAAATGATGCACTTACTTGCTTATAATTTCAGGACCATTAATTACAGAAACATAGGCTCCAACTTCATTAGCAATAGCCCTGGCAATCATTGTCTTTCCAGTACCTGGAGGGCCATAAAGTAAAACTCCCCGAGGGGGAGGAATTCCTAGAACAAAAGGAACACTGGACTCAGCATTGCTATGTTTAAGTGTTGTCATGTGACTTCAAATGTGAGTTATAAAATATAAATGTACCTTGCATCATAAAACTCAAGTAAGAGTCAGACCTTTTTCCCACCCCCACCAGAAAGATGTACTAACTGGCCCACACATTGATCTCCAGCAATGACTTTTTCCATCTTTGTAGACTCAACCAGACCAGGGCACATTGGTAAAAAAAAAAATAGGCTGGACACACACAGTTGCCATGCCCCATCCCACCCCAGACAGTTCAATGAACAGAAAGCAAAGCCAAGACAACAAGGGCACCCAAAGTAAGCCACCAATCCCAATTTTCACCCAACTAGCCATCTCAGAGAATATGAGCGTTACTAGCAAAATGTCAATCCAAGGGTTCATTTTATATATATAGACCCATGAAAGAGGAAAAAGCAGAGAACAGACATTTGTGCCAAATACATGCAGAGGATCTGGGCAATAACCTCACAGAGAAAGCTCTGAGTTTCCTAAGGGCCCAGTCACTCCCTTAACTACTGGTTTCAGTCCAGAGATCTGCACATACCTACATTTCCTAACAAAGAAGTTTTATCAAACATATCTGTTTAGTTTATTTATTTAGTAATTACAGCTGATGTTCCATGATAAGAACTTATTCTAGATCCAATACAAGTGTGGCAGAGTGCAATTAGAAGAGAGGAGGCTGCAAATAACACATATTACAACCTAGTAAGACAATAAGGTTCACTGAACTGGCATCAAAGCAACTCACCCCTCCTACCATGCCTACCACTCAGGAAGGAAAAATAGAAAAAGAGGGTGAGCAATCATTACACAAGCGGAATGAGATAACTGCTTTTTAGTTTGAATTTAATACTTTTTGGTACAATAAAGGACTCTTACCGTAACTCTTGAAAAGTTCAGGCTGTTTGAGAGGTAATTCAATTATTTCTCTAATGGCTTTCAGCTGACTACTTAAGCCTCCAATCATGTCATAAGTTACTTTAAGCTGACTATCTTGCTCTTTTGAATTTGTACGATTCTTTCTAAAATTGACTCTCGTTGTTGAAGAAATATAATAAAAAGTATCGGTGTTGCACTTTGCTCCCACACAGGCCGACTTTAGCAATCTCTTTTCACTGAGGAGTTGCTCATTTCCTCCTCTGGTCAACTCAAAACTACATTTAAGTCCTGTGACTTGATGCAGTCCAAGTCCACTGCCATCCTCAGGGCTCTGGGTACTATCCAACATGTCACCAGTGTTACTGATGCTTCTGTCACCTACTGCTCTGCAAGGAGTACTACTTGCTGTTGGATCCCGGGGTTCTTCCAGATCTAACTGGCTTAACTGAGAGGATATACCCAGAGTACTGGTTTCTATGCTGGACTGTTCAGGGGCCATGCCCTGTGCATCTGCGTCAGCATCACCCTGAGGCCTTCTCAGTATCATGCCGTCGGCCCCTTTCACTCGCAACACTTGCATCTTGCATAGTCGTCCATAGAATGTACAATACAGAAAGTTGCCTGGTAAAACAATCTTGCCATCTAGAAAATAATATATCAAATATATATAAAAATTTTCCAACCATTTAATATTTAAATAGCAATTTATTTCATCTATTAACAAAACTATCTGACTGAAAAGACTACATAAAAGATGAGAGTATTAATAAAATAACTCATAAAAAACAGAGGACCAAATATACCCCTCTGACAGAGCACTATCTGATAACAGAATAAGGACAAGATGAGTCTTTGAAATCCTCTACAGGCAATACATCTAGTGTTCTATTAACTATCAGCATATAGCCAGGCAATCCACATTTGATGATTAACCTCAAATGACACATGTAAGCCAACACTCCAAGATCACATTTCTCACAGGAAAGATCAAGAGCTCAAGGGTTAAAAGTCTTAGTTCTACCTCTGCCTTTGTCCATAGGTTAAGTCCTATATTCTCTTCATGGCTCAACTGCCAATCAATCAGGGGAAAAAAAAATCCCTATCCCAAAAGACATTAATTCATTGAGAAGCATATTCTCTATGCTATGTTGAAGAAGACAATTATGTATACAGGACCTCAAAGACACTTTATTTGCTGCTGCCTTGCTTCTTATAATTTAAGAAACTATTGAAATACATATCTCACCCAGTTTTCTCAGAAGACAAGCAGTCAGTTGTTCTTCATTAATATCAACATTTTTGTCACTGTAAAGGGTGGGGTTGGAGGAAACAGAAGTCAGCATTAGAAATATCAGAAACTAAAATGTAATATAAAATGACATGTACATAGTTGTAATGTAGACCTAATAAAAAATAATTAGTTCATAACCTGGAAATGATTTACACAATTTTGGAATGATTTACACTTTTCAGATACTTCCTATAGCCTTGAAAATATCACTTGCAAGCCCTGATGGCCTAAATAAGTGTTCTACAGAATCTAAGGTCCAAAATCATGAAATCATTTCAGTCAATCCCATCCAGCCTTTTCTTTAATAGAATACAAAATGTCAGAATATATGGCACATAGAAAGGGTAAGTATTGCTTTGTAAAACATACATACACACATATCTATATGTTCATGTGTAAAAAGGTACACTCGTGTGACTGACTACCTATGTGCACTGTATTTGTGGATGTATGTGTACAATGAATCACAGTGAAAAATGTATTTTTTATGGTGTGTCAGAGTCAAAAACATTTGAAAAAACACTGGCTAAATTAATCATTGCCTTTCTGAATTTGCTTAACTTGGAGAAAGCTTTAATTAATAGCATGCTTCATTCCTTTGCATAATAAATCATGTTTCAGAAAAGTTAAATCCTTTATCTGAAGGAAATCCTTTATTTGAAGAGGTAAAAATAAGAAAAGGAAGGTAAGATGCCATGGAAGTTTATTCTGGAGAAAGGGTATGTCTACAAAAAAATGAGAACCCTTTCTTCCATCTAGTAACTGTGTCTTCCAGGAAGTTTGATTGTTTGAGTAGAGGAAGTAGGCACACCAAAAATCATTATACTTATAAACAAACCAGTTTTTGGAGAGTTCTGAGAACACGGCCATTCTTCCTCCTCCTCCATATACAAGTAGACCATACTAGCTGAGGTGGCCAGTGTTTGGGAGCTCTGCCAGAGATCTATGGAGGGGGATTGTTTAAGTCAGGAAGGGGTGTATTAACAGGCCCATGGGGTCCATATCAAATTTTTCTTCAGTCACTCTAAGCAACAAAACTAATCCAGTTAATCTTCATTATAATGCAGATTCTGTATCTGCCAATTCACCTACCTGCTAAAATTTATTTGTAAGCCCAAAATCAATACTAGCAGAGCTTTCCCAGTCACTTGTGAATGTGTATAGAGCATGCAAAAATTCAAGTCACCTGACAGTTTCCCAACTGAGATGGAAAAAGGCCTCACAACATTTTAGTTCTCATTCAGAGATAACTAGAGAATGGAGAGTGCAAATGTAGGGGACAGTGCAGTGGACAGCAAAAAGTTCCAACTCAGGAGCCAGTTGGAGGGAATCTGAATCCCAACTGGGCATCTGTTAGTGGAGTGGCTTCAGCAAAGTCACGTAACACTTCTGAATCACCTCTTCTCTTTTGTAAAAGGATGAAAACAGAATCTACCAGAATGAGTTTTTCTAAGGATTTAAGATTATAATCTTTGCAAAACATATACATTTATGTATTTTAAATATGTATATGAACATACATAACCCCTAGGAGCAATTGTTCAGTATTTGCTAATTCAGTGTATGGCAACTTTATCAAATACAACTACCACAAATGATGAGAATTGACTGTGTATTCATATAAAAGAGAGAGAAAAATAGAATGAGGAGGAAATTTCATGAATCAAATGTATGTATAAACTAACGAGGAAATTGTATGTATCTGTTTAAATGCTTAAATTTACTTCTGTTTACAGAAATCTGAGAGTTTAGGTTATACTTAAATTGTTTTTATTCATTAAACTGAATAGAAGACATTTACAAATATCTGTAAGAACTGTAAAAATACTCAACCAATTTTGCTTTCAAAAAAAGAATGGGTGCAGATAAAATTATTTCCACTAGAAGGAGCTCTAACCTTACTAATAAAATGTTTTAGCTACAACTGAAGAATTTAGGCAGAAGATTAAAATTACTTATTTTTCTTACTGGAAATTCAGTTTCTTATCTAAGTTCTGCTGCTACCACATTTAAAACATAAGATTTTTTTATTTTAAAGCTTCCATTTAAAACTACATACAGTCACTCTATAGCAGGTAATGGTCATCACCTAATGGCTGCACCCTCAAGAGGTCACACTAGTTCACAGATAACCAAAAATCCAGTCAACTGATTACTGGCTGCCTGCAGCCCTGTTTTAAAACAGGCTGAAGATTCATCCTGTTAAATTTGAGGAGTGCTACTAACTAATCCATTATATTTATGGGTTACAAGTTACTGCTCCTCACTGAGCCCATTTCGTCTTCTGTAAAAAAGGAATAAATAAAAAAAAAAGGAATAAATATGAATACCTTGAAAGATGTTTAAAGGATTAAAAGATGTTTAAAGAATTAAATGAGAAGGAAAAAAAGAAGAAAGTATGTGTACATGTATGTGCTAGTACACAGCTGGTGCTGAAGATGTTGTGTTCTCTTTCCTCTCTGCCTTATATTGTTCATTAAAAAGTTATTAAATGCTCTGAAAACACTTTCCTCTTTTTAAAGGAAAAATTATGCCAAAGCACAAGCTTGGAATCTATAATAGTAGCAAAGGAGAAGACAACATTTTAAAATCAAGCTAATAACAGGAAAATCTTTTGTCATTCTTGCATATAAAATAATCACATCCCCCAAATTGTTACTAAGGTGGTATTAAAGCATCAAAATATACTTTTCTTAAACAGATTTTGTAAGACTTATATATGTAATCTGAGTCAAAAGCCTACTAGATACAGAATAGTCAAGAGGATGGGTAATAAACTTTAAGTATATGGTAAGTTGATTCAAATAAGTAGTCTTTGGTAAGGGACTATTTAAAAGTCTGAACGAAGTTAACTGTTTTATTAGATTAACTAATCAATGAATTAAAATATACAATCAGGTACTTTGCTTGAGCAGTCTTAATTAAAACTTGTTTCTTGCCTACTCACCGTAATCTACTCCCTTCTTTACAACTGTAAAAAAGACAAGAAGCCCTGATTATACTGCAAGTCAAGATGAAAAATAGTTAAATATCAATAATAATTCCTCTCACCTAAAATGTCAGAGAATATTCTAATTACAGGCTATCAGACAGTCCCTACTCCATAAATTACACAGCGCTAATTTAGCATATACTAATAGAAGAACCAGCCGCTCACCATGAGGCCATCAAGCACTTAAGATGTGACTAGTCCTGACTTGTGCTACAAATATAACATATGTACCAGACTTTGAAGACTTAGTTTGAAAAACAGAATGAAAAATGTCTGATTAATAGTTTTTTGTAATTATTCTAACTTAAAATAAGATTTTCCATTTACTGGCTAAATAAAATATCCTATTACAATTAATTTCACCTGTTTTTTACTTTTTAAATGTGGCTAGTAGAAAATGCAAAATTATGTACATGGTTCACATCTGTGACTTGTTATATTTCCACTGGACAACACTGATCTAGACAGGTGCCAAAGAAAAGAGCCGAACCTCAGTGCCAAGTCCATTTCCTCAGCCTGCAGCATGGCACCCACGAGAGGCTGGACATGGATGGCATCGCCAACCCTCACACCCACGTTCTTCTGAGCCATTTCACTCAGGCCAACCTTGCCTCCAGGAAATCCTGCCACAGGCCAGGCTGTATAGACCTGTCCAGAACATGGGAAATAAAAACATGAGAAAATAAATAGTCACAGGATATCATTAATTTTTAAAGCAGAAAACTAATCACAGCAAGTACATGGATCAGTAAAATGTAGTCCTTACCCTAAAGGAGTTATTATCTGACACAAGTTATGAAAAGATTTTTTAAATAAGTATTATGTCTTTTGTGAAAATTAGGAATGATCCTAAAGAGAAAACTGTGTAAGATCAGAAAGGTACCTTTAGGAAAAGAGATAAGGGCATTAGCAGGTGATAAGAAGCAGTTAACTGTAAGGTTATCCATCTTGGAGTCTTAACAACATCAAGGAAACAGTGAGGGGTCAGGAACAAGACCTTCGTGGGAACCTGGATCTCATCAGACTTAAACGTTAAGGAGAGAAGTGATGTTTTCTAGTTTCAGATGGTGGGCTGATCTTATATACTTACAGTCTTCTCTTTCACAGACCACAATAAAGGATTTTTTAAACAACAATGAGAAGAATGGAAGGCATTCCATCAGCAGGTAAGAGATTTCAAAACATTTCCTGAGGATCCCACTGGATGAGAGAACACTAACCGATAAAGCAGCAGCAGATGAGAGACCAGCAGTAGGAAAGAAAGCCAAGCTGCCAAAAATGACCCAGGCAAGATTCTGGGCTTAGAGTGTCAGGTATGATGAGTGGCAGCAAGAACAAACAGCTGAAAACAGGAGGATAATCGAATATTTGTATACAAGAGATGACCTTCAAACCCCCAAACAGCATTTCTGTGGGGAAATGTAACTGACAGACTGGAAGAAACAGGGATGATAATGTGTGTGCATCACTGCGTCTGGAGGAAAGGCCTCTCTTTACATTCTGAAATTCAGGGGCTACTATGCCCAGGGTAGTTGTACACATCAAAAGAAAGAAAAGTATATATAAGATGTGAGCGTAGTTTAAAATACAGTTTTTGGTTTATTACTGCTTGTGTGGAAAATTAAAATCAAACACATCCCAAATCCTTCTAAACTAAGGAAATGAAAAGGACTCTTACCTCCTGCTTTCCACCCAGACTAGTAAGCAACACTGGTCGACCAATACATATATTTGCAGATTTCATAGTGCCTAGTCCAAGTTGAACAAGGGAATTCTGGAATGCTTTAGGTACTTTGTCATCTATCAAGAAGGACAAGAAAATTATTTTCAGACTATTTTCTTACAAGTTAAAGCATGCTTTTTTTTGGAGTAAATAAAAATCTTCTATCCTCATAACCACATGAATGAACTTACCATACTCTAGAGAAACCACTGTTCAACCTTCCTTATTACAACTTTAAAACCAAAGCCTTATTGAGGGGTCCACTGACAATCACCATGACTGCTAACTAAACCAAGAAGTTTTATGGGGTGGGTGTCAGTTTTCGCTGTTTAAAAAAATAATTTCATTAAGAACTGAACATAGTAATGGCATTTTTCATACTTGCATACCAAGCTTTTCATATTATAGATTCTAAGTTGAATTGGCTACTAGTATCAAAGGCTTGAACTGGGAACTAGCACATCGCCTGGCTCTAGAGGACTGAGTTATGTTTACACTTTGAGCCCACAGGATTGCTATCAGACATTTTCTTTTCTAATCCCAAGAATACATGGATAAGACAGTAACACAGGTCTTATTCCTTAGATGAACACACACTGCCTGAATTGGCCATTATTAGTACCTTCAACTTTTGGCTGAGGAAGGAACACAGAATCCAGCCCAGTTGGCAACACCTCTAAAAATGCTACACTAACATCTCCATCCCTGCCCACCTACCCCCTTAAGTTCCAATATTTGGTTAACTGTCCCTCCTCTAATTCTTTCAGCATCCTGTGCTGCCAGATACTTGCACTTATCATCATAATATTCACTTGTTTTACAATCTGACTTTCTCCTCAATTATATGCTGCCTTGGGGCAGGAATTGGGTCATATTCATTTTCCATCTCAAATACCTAGGACTGCATCAAATATATGAGCTGGATAATAAATATCTGTGAAATGAATGAGTACAGTGGATGATTATACAATATTTTCTTTCCAGCAAAAAATCCATAAAATACTTATAAAATTTCAACCTTCCACAAACTGCTATAAAATTTATTAGACATATATACCACAATCACAGAGCTCTAAACTATTATTAGTGTTCCTTAATAATCAGAAGAACTGATCTTTTGTAATTTAAAAGAAATTAAATGAAAGCAAAACCACAGATACGTCTGATTTACCATATTCTCTACCACTATAAAAAAAAACTACTCACACATTATTTTCCTTCTGGCATCAGCTGAACAAATCTAGAAAACCAGTGCATCTCACAGAGCTAAGAGTAATAGTACCAAGGATAAAATAAGCATATTTCATAATATAAGTGGCTGAAAAGAAATTCACCTTTCCTAGGAGCATTAGATCTTTTACATAGTTTATCCCTGAGTAACAACAAAACATCCTGTTTGACGGCCTCATAATTTGCAATTTCTGCTACGTCTTCTTTCCCAGACCTCAATAATTTATACTTCTCTCTTGATAATTACCTCACAGGTGTACTCAGTCCTTGGCAAGAGTCTAGGTTTTCTTCTTCTCTTCCCTTCATCCTATCCTGTACATCCACCACACACCAGAATTCGATAAATCACAACCTTCTCTAAGTACTTCCACTTCCTCCCTATCACCAATGGAGATCATGTTCAAATCCCCATCCACTGGTTTTATTTCCTAATACGTCCTTCTTGTATTCTCTGTGTATAGCATCCAAACCTTCTCAAGCCACACAATCCTCATTCCTCCCATACTTTAAAATATTTGACATCCACTTTCCCCACCCATTAACTATTTTTACGCAGCACCTTCTATACCAGATTAACCAATGAGACAGTAATGATCATTTCAAACAACCATCAACCCTTAATTTGTTCACTCAGCAAGCATTCATTCACTATGTGCCTACCACATGGCAGCAGTAATGCAAGGCACTAGGGATACAAAGTAAACAAAAAAGGACAGTCCTTGGCCTCACAGAACTTATATAATCTAATAGGATGTGAAACATGCACTGAGCAACTGTATAATTAGTAAACTAAGATTCACACAATGAAAGAATAACTAAGAGTACAAGGAGAGCCTATAATTTGGGATCTTATCTCATCTGAAAAAATGAGAGAATGCTTCTCCAAGGAAGTAAAGTTTAAATTCAGATCTGAAGAAGGAATAAGAATTAACTAAATGAAGAGGAAAACAAAATGATTCTTAGCAAAGAGAACTGAATGTACAGAGGTCCTGGACGGAAGTAAGCATTACACATATATGGGAAAGAATTACAGGCAAAGTGGTGGGAGACAAGAAGGGGCCTCAAGGGTAAGAAAGGTCAAGACCTCTCATGGCAGTAGGCCATATCAAGCTGTGGTCATTAGTCTGACAGCACCTGGAGGCCAGTTATGGGTGGAAAGCAGGGTCATGACAAAATCTTTTTAAAAGGTCATTCTGGCTGCCAAGTGGAAACAAACTGGAAGACACTGGCCAAGTACAGTAGTCCAGGTGAGAGATGATGGTGTCTGAGTTAAAATGGAAGCAATGGGAACAGAGTGAAGAAGAGGAATGTGGAAAATATTAAGGTGATAAATTGGACTTGTGGTGGACTGGATATGTGAGATGTAAGACAGAGATGTGTCATGAATGACACCTAGGTTTTTGAATTTTATAATGAGAAAAAGTGAACAAGGTTAGAGTGTGTTTTGTTAGTGGAAATATAAGTTCATGAAGTCAGTCTTGAATACCTTTGAAAAATCCAAGAGAAGAGGTACAGCACAGTGCTATTCAAAGTGTGGTCAGCAAACTATTTGTTACTGGTTCATGACAGGATAAGTTCAGAAAATGAGAATAAGCATTTAGAAGATTTTGTTGTAATTTGACAGTAATTTTAGATCTCTTGAATATAATAAAAATTTCTATCTTTTTAACTTATTTTTCTAGTAATTTATTTTCATTGCAGTTTACGAGAGTGCTGAGCTGTGGCCTATCATGCATTTAAAACTCTTCTCTACAGTTTGAGAAGCATTGGTCTAAAAATTGAATGATTCAGAAATTGTATAAATTACAAATATAAATCTGAAAATGATGTGGGTATAACTGGGAAACTCTGGATACTGAATGAACTTGCCAAAGAAAGATTTATAGAAAAAAAAAATTTTAGACTAAGAATTGAGGAACAAATCAATCAATGGTCAAGTGGAAGATGAATCTGCAAATGAACTTCACAACATTATAGAAAACAGATGAAGGAAAAAATAGGAACATTTAATGACACCTAAGTCAAAAAAGTAGTGTCTTAGAAAGTAGTAGTAGACAATACCAAAAGCTGCTGAGAGATCAAGTAAAGTTAACAATGAAAAACTGTCCACTGGTTTTATCACCATAGAGCTGATGAGTGACCATGGCAGGAACAGTGTCCATGGAATGAGTAAGGACTAAGTGAGAGATGAGATGGCAATGAAGAAGAAAAAGAGAGGACGGTAGTAAGAAGAAATGTGGGAGAGGTGCCAGAGGGGAGAGGGTTGGATGGGGCTCTCTCTGCAGGAGAAAGTGCAGGTGTACATACCACCCCAGCCCTCCCTTGGTCCAACAAACTGGGCACTCTACAGAGCCCCAGACATTCCATCCCACTCACTGGTGGCTCAACCCTGATGTGCTTCTCTGCGCACCACCAGTAAGCGAGCCCCCTCTGCCCAGCAGAGTCAGCTTTCTCTGCCCTGCGTCATACCAACTGGGAAGGTGCCTACAGGAGCCAGCACCCAGAGGTCCTTCCTGCCTGTGGGCAGCCCAGCCCAGTGCTGTGTGCCTTGCTGCCTCCAAGGGGCACCCAAATGACTCACTGCCACAGTGTGCCCTGCCACCTCCCCACTTGCCTGGCCGCACCCCACCCCAGAACCTGACAACTGCCCTGCCCTCACTGCAGGGCAACCTCGCCATCACTGCAGGGCAGATAGAGGGAGGCCCACACACAGTGATCCCAGCAGAAGCCACTGCTCTGATCACAAAGGGATGGCTGGGACAAACTGCCAGCCACAACAGACTGCAACCACTGCCAGCCTATTGCCCACCAACAGCAATTGGGGCTCTACCACAAGGAAGAACAGGGCACTGGGTACTAAGGAATCTCAAGCTTCTGGGCACCACAGGATGCCTTTTTCATAAAGTCATTACTCTCTAGGCCAGGAGGCATAGAAGATCCATCAAATACACAGGAAGAAACACAGAAACCCAAACAAAATGAAGAGGCAGAGTAATTTGTTCCAAACAAAACTACAGGATAAGACTCTAGAAAGAGGATTAAATGAAAGAGATCACCAATCTTCTTGACAAAGATTTCAAAGTAAAAGTCACAAATATGCTCAGTGATCTGCAGAAAAGTATTGAAGATCTCAGGGAGGACTTCAACAAAGTGATACAAGAGCTGAAAAAGAGCCACTCAGAGCTAAAGAACACAGTAACTGAAATGAAACATACAATGGAGGGAATGAATAATAGATTGCTGCAAGTAGAGAAGACAGTCAATGAGATGGAAATTAAAGAACAGGAACACAATGAAGCTGAGAACCAAAGAGAAAAAAGAATTTCTAGGAAAGAGAGAAGGATAAGACAGCTCTGTGAGCAATCCAAACCAAACAATAGTCACATAATAGGGGTACCAGAAGGAGAAGAGAGAGACAAAGCTATAGAAAGAAAATCTCTTTGAGGAAATAACTGTTGAAAACTTCGCCAGTCTGGGGAAGGAAATAGAAACTCAGCTCATGGAAGCACAGAAAGCTCCTAACAAAAGGAACCCCAGGAAGACAACACCAGGATATACAATAATTAAAATGACAAAAATTAACAATAAGGAGAGTATTGAAGGAGCCAGACAGAGAGAAAAAGATTATTTATACTGGAAAAACTGTCAGGCTATAAGCAGACTTCTCAGCAGAAACTTAACAGGCCAGATGGGAGTGGCATGAAATATTTAATGTATTGAAACAGAAGGACCTTCAACCAAGAATCCTCTACCAGCCAAGATTAGCAGTCAAATTTGAAGCTGACATTAAATAATTCCCAGATAAATGAAGGTTCAGGGAATTTATAACCATTAAACCAAGATTACA